GTGAGTGTGCCGTTCCTTTCCTTGCTGCAGAGCAACGTGACACGTAGATGGTGCAGAGCCTTCACGTCACAGCGCTCTTAAAAACCAGAATGTGTTCGGCAAGGATTTTAACGGGTGGTATTTTAGCTGTGTTGGGGATGTAACTGGGAGAGGCTCAACCTCACCATAACTGTTCATAAGGCACCGCGCAGTCCTGGTGCCTGTCCAGGTCTTAAAGGGTATCCACATCTCAGGAGATGAAGCCCTCTCGCAAGCTGCCTGGTGCTTCCTGTTTTCTCGTCACCCAGAAATAGATTAACAACGGTATTTCCTACTGCGTCCCATCCAGAACAAAAAGAAATTAAAAAGTATTCAGCGATAAAAATATTTTTTAGACTATCTATCCGAACGCCTCAAACTTCCCTGAAGGTTTATTGGGCGTTTTGGGCTCTGGTTCAAGTAGCTGTTGTTGGATCCAGATAACTTTATCCACCCTATTCATGATTTGTCTCTGAAAATTCCTTCGTGCTTGAATCTTAGGGTATAAATTCACAAGCTTGGAAATGATTTATGTGTGACAATTCTTTTAAATACATTTGATTTTAATTTACAACAGTGTAAGACAGAATCAGAATTTTGTGGTTTCCAGTGTTTTTAATATGAAAATTCTTACTTTGGAACGAAACCTTCCTGGATCTGAAATGCGTATTACTTTTTTTTTTTTTTTTTTTTGGTGTTTAAGAATGAGTTTAAATGAGACGCTGCTGAGTTGGGGGGTAGATATAATAATTTAGAATGCTTTGGGATGAGGATTCTAAGTAATACATTTGATCTGATGAATCAATCTCTCTTTTGAAAACAAATAGCCTTTAACTGTTTACTTGACAGACTGCGGGGATTCTGGGAGAGCCCTTATTGCTTGTTGGGTAGATAATACAGATTGCAGATGATGTGCAGATGATGTGCATTTTGATGAATATTTTCCCACTAGACTGCAACTGTTTCTATCTATTAATTTTGATCTAATGGGAAAAGTCTGTTCCTGGGTAGTTTTAAGCTAGGACTTTTTAAGCAGTGCATGCATTGAAGCTAGGCTTTCCTACCAGGCTAAGCTCTATCACTTTAAAGTGGAAGAGCTAATAGCTGTGGAGGAGCTTCCTCTCTTCCCTCTATCCCCAACGAAGTCAAAACCTGAGCACTAGCAACGCTAACACGCACACCCGCATAGCTCAGGTCTGACTCATTACTTAGCTTTAAAAGGAAGGGAATATTTAAATTTCTCCATCTCTCCGATTTTGCTGTTTCCAAGCTACCAGATGTGACTGTAGTTGTGCTAATAGCATTAGCTTGGAAGTGGCCCTTCCTGCAGGCCGCTGCGCGGGGGCGATGCAGCCGGGGCTGCAGCGGCCGCGCGGGGCTCGCAGAGCTGCGCCGAGCGCCGCGGACAGCACCCCTCTTTCCCCAGCGTAAATGCTCAGCAAAATAAAATGGGAACGAATTGGAAACCTTGGGGTAAGCTGCAGATTTGTTAGCTGCTGTAAGCTGGTGGAGTTCAGCTGCATGCAAGGAAGTGCTTTAGATTTGAACCAGATGACGCGCTGGCTCTGCATGTGCAGCCCTGGAATTCTGACGTGCTTTATACTACTGCCTTTCAGGAGTTTCTTGAGTGAAAGTGTGCAAGTTTAAACCTCTTTCTCACGTGTAAATGCAAAAGTGTAGGAAACGCTATGGAAAAGGCATAAGTTTTTCCAGCTATGGGATCATCTTTTCCATTTTTTTTTTCACTAAATAAAGATGTTCAAGTGAATGATGAGGGTTTCAGCAACTTCCGGAGAAATTAAGTTGCAGCAAGGTTAAATTCTTAACATTAGAACCCGCTGTGAGAGGTTCAGAAGCAGCTCGCAACCAAAAGAAGGCAGAGGATACAGATAAAGCCAGAGCCTGCCTGCCTGAGCAGCCTCTGCCCGGTTTGCCTTATCCTAGTGAATGAGATAGACCCTCTTCGGGAATGAGCGCTGCCGGTGAGAACCGAGCCAAGCCTCCCTGTTCTTCATGAAAGGAAGCTCATGCAGCCCCATGCGAGGGAGGGCCCGGCTCAACAGGGCATCTGGTCCCCATCAGTGTCCCCACGCTGGGGGGCTGGCCGTGCGCCCCAACATTTAACCTTGCCGGCAGGAGGGGGGCGACGGGCCGGGAGCTCGGCGGCGCCCACGAGCCCCGCGGTCAGCGCGCGGGGTGCGCCCGGACGGACGCTGCCGCGCTTCCCAAGGAGACCCCATCAGTGTCGCGCCGGAGGACCGGGAGCTGCTTCTCAGCAGGCAGCGGGGAGGCCTCTCCCCATCCATCCGTGCCTTTTTGCCCGCTGCTTTCAACTCTTATAAAGATACAATTACCTTGGGAGGCTGTGGCAGTTCAGTTGATTAGCACGGTGAATTAAAAGAATGAGTCACAAATGACATGTCCAGCTCTTCTCGACTAGTCCTTTGTATTCCCAGTGTGCCTCACCCCTGTTGTAAGAAGGTCAAAAATTAGAGAGAGATAACAATTTTCAAGCAGCTAGCACTTAGGAGCAGAATTAACAATCATTCTGTATGTAATTGCCAGTTAATAGTAAATTGCCTTCTAGACTGTAAAATGCAATATAAACTGGTGGGCACCTAAAATTAAATTAATGAGGTATTTGCTGCATTTAAAAGTAGATAGTGCAAATTAATAACTGAGTATAATACTTGTTTTAATATTTATCTAATGCTGTGTCGTTTGCTTCTATGATGATAATTTTAAAAGTTCTACCTGAAAAGATCCCTATTTGGTTAAATCGAGCAGTTTGTACAGATTGTAACCATAATTTTGTTGGTAAAGTCTTCCAGGTTTCTAAATTAAATATCAGAGATTATTTTTTAATTAGAGTATGAGCACTGCAGTGTTATTTGATTAAGGCAAATTGTGATTTGTATGCTTCTAAATGAAATTATGTTACAGATAAAATTGCACTTTTATACACATATTTTAAGCCAAGAGCCCCGTGGATTCTGTGGTTTTACTCTAAGGCCAGCAGTAGCACGGTATTCACAATGTATTTGTGCCTCTGCTTTGCTGTTTGCTCCAAGCATGTGCTCCACATAGGGGTTTCCTAGTCGAGGAACTCCGAGTTAGCAAATATTAAAATAATTTCAAAGAACGCTCTTCATCCTGACGTGACCAGGTCTCATTCAGAACTCTTGATGTTGACTGCTTTTACCCCAATGTTTTTGTGATACACCCCCATTTTGATAACTTCTTTTGCTCAGCTAAGGAAAAGACCACAGATTTTCGGGAGACAACGGCTCGGTTGCAGTAGACAGTTCTTTTGCACCCGGTTGCCCTACAAGCTATAGGTTTTCCTTGCAAACCTGTCCAAAACAGACACCGCGAAAGGTTGAATGTTGAATACATGGAAGCACTCCCAGGTCTGCAATGCATTTACTAGACGTGAATGTAAAAAAGATTATTTTGCACAAAGACTTGCATTCAATTTTAAACTTCTGAAACCATTGCTCATGCAGTGATTGCTCCGAGTTGGTGTGCTTTCTGATAGAGTATTTATGTTGAAAAAGCGAGATTGCGATGCAAGGCTGGCACGCTATCAAGGGGCAAAGCCCCATTTAGTCGCTGCATTGTCCAGATCTTTCAGTTTGACTTGTTTTTACCTCCGCATCAAGACCTCTCCTTTGGCTGCTTTCCCTTATTTAACCCGCACTCCACTTCACCCTCTGAAAGATCTCATGTTCTGAAGTATTTTAGAGACCTTTTGTGTGCATTCAAATGTGATTCTGTCAATGGCGCTGTTACACTGTGTAGAGTCAATAGCTCCCTTCCATCACAGCCAACACAAACTAGCTGTCTCATAGGTCAGTGCTCTTTAAACAAATTACTTGTATCCACAGAGCAAATGATTGTTAATTGCCTCCCACAAATCATACTATTTTTACTATGCTAAACTAGATGCTAATGCCTTAGTTAAATTTAAGCCACCTGATTATTTCTTGTGTATATTCAATTATTATTCTTAAGTATGAAATCTGGTGATTTTGCAAAATGAACGCTAAAATTTATATAACAGACAGAGTGCTTTATTGGTAGTCCTTTAAAAAGAACTGTGCTGTTGACGTTTATTTTAATGAAATCCTCAGCATTTCTAATTCATATATATTGCATCTGCTTTAAGTGCTGCTGTCCTGAAGCAACTTACAGTCACTGTTATTACAGTATTGGTTATTTATTGATCGGACCTTGTGTCAGTGCTGGTTGTTAGCAAGCTCGAAAAAATCAACACAGAACAGATGTTCCCAGCCTTTCGTCAAGATGTTTCTTCCTAAGTCAGTCAAAGTTAGTATTCAAAAGCTAAAATAAAAAGCTCTCTCTGATAATATTTTAAAAAGCTAGAAGAAAACACATTTTTTTTCTCAAAGCAGGCTAACGTCTTAGACAAAAAGATTCTGGCTAACCGTCTTTTCTTATAAAGAGGGAGTTTCAGCATGACATACATTTTTAATTAATAGGGCAATGCTAAACATACAAAAATGATTTAGTAGCATCAAGTCAATAGCATATGGGATAATGTATATTATATAATAGCTCTTTTTTTTAAACAGTGGCAATTCCAGGTTTATCAGGGTCATTGTTGTCCCCTTTCTTTTCTGTCTCAGAGGAGGCCGGAAGAATGAGACATACCATTTGTGCTATTGCACAAGTAGACTATTTGTCCTAATCAGTGACACCCATTTACTAGAATTGCTTAAAATGAACTATACCTCATACAGAAATCGCACATTTAGAGTGTTCCATTCATCATCTGAAAATTGAGGGCCAGTAAACTTTTCTGTTCCTCCAGCGGGATCATAGACATGCATCAAAATGTTAAAAAATGATTGGTGAGAGAGAACTGTCACCCATTTATCAAGGAAAAGGAACATTATTTGCTAATTTCCCAACCAAGGCAGTGACAGGGTGCTTCGTCTTTAGACCCATGGTGACCAACA